CGGCGCATCGATGATTTATGGCTAATCATATCGCTATCAGTGCACGGTAGCAGTGACAGATCGCCGCAGTTGTTTTCAAGTTTTGCTTACGCGACCGGTTTCGATTTTTAGATTAGAAATCGAAACTATACTTTTCTTTTGCGAACGAGTCTTTCATGCGCAGCTTGCGTTTTTTAAACGGTATTGAATCACGTGGATGTGCCAGTGTATATTTTCAGTGATTTAGAGCTGCTGATTTTTCTTTGATATTGTACTTTGAAAAAGCCCGTAAATCATATTCGCACGAGGTAGTATACGTGTGTGGGTGTATTCTGCAGAGAATCCTTTTATGAAGCAGCATGAATATACTCGAGTCGTGTATAAAGTGCTCATGTAAAATACATAGCGGAAAAATTCGATTCGAGAGAAGCCGGAGGTTGAAGCATATTTCAACGAAAATGAAATTTCCATTGTCGAAAGGTGATTCAATGATGATATATGAAATTATTACCGTAACGGAGTAGAAAAAGGAAAATTTTTTCTTTCAAATCAACGGGGTGAAATGACATTACCATGAATTATCCAGGAGAGCGATGAAATTTTCGTACTTTCGATATATTCCAAGTATGAGGTGCAATCTGTTTGACGCGGCCGAACAAGACGTACACACGCGCGAGCCCGTATCACAAATCTCGTAGAAAGCCATTACTCCCGCTCCGTAAGTGACGTCAATTTACTTTCCCCGTTATTTTATTGTCTCGTTCGAACCGCTACCTCATCATACTCCTACCATCAACGTAATAAACACTAATTATTTTAATGTGCTCACTTCATACAGAATTTTCCGCTTAGTTGAATTACTGTGAACCAAAAAAAAAAAAAAAAAAAATACAGATTTTCTGTAAAAAATAATAAGCTACGTTAAAAGATGGTGGAGAAAATTTTACATCATCAATTCTCAACTTTGTGAGTTTGTTATAGAAACCCTTTTCTAAGCGCCATATGATCAATCATTCCTACCTATGTACAACAATTTTATCACGACTCTTTTAATTTCAAAAATGCATACAAACGTACTTTTGTGGACTTACTGAGTTGAACGAACTTTGCAGGGACGTTTGGAGGGAGTTAATGAAAATGAGCTTTTTTTTTAATGGACACGTTAATTAAATCCACACAACAGCCGTGCACTCGTTAACCACGTAATTGCGTATTCGCCAGCTAAATATGCACGAAATTTCCATGATAAGCTTCCGTGACAATATTTCATCAGATCCATCTTTGCCAAAGAGTGCTATTAGAGACCAAAAAAAATTTTCCATCTCTATTGCAAATGTGTATGATAAAACCATAAAGAAAAATGTCCAAAGGGTAAATATTTCTAAAAGTGGCGTTGTACATGTAACTCAAGCATCGAGGTATGTACAACTCGATCGAGCTGAGCGCAAAGTAACACCTATACATGCTGTGGTACCTTTTCTCTCTCTACAACTCTTCCGTGTCCATAACTCGCCACGTTTCTTGTGGTAGTGTGGCCACCACTATACTTTGCGACAGCCCGTACGTGTTTCCTCTAGCGACTTCTTGCGGCTCCCGAGGCATTAATTTGACCTAATTGCCTGCAATTAGCGTTCTTCAACCGGCTCTAGAACCAAGAGAGATAGAGACACTAATAGGTAGAGGGAGTGCAGTGGTCCATGGTATTAGTACTCTACTTCCAGACTCTTAGTGTTAACCGCAGTTTGGAACCTGAGAAGCGATTGTCCCGTGTGGAATGTGGAATTCGATATTCCGTGGACGCTACTGTATCCACATGTACCATTACACGTACAGTTACCTACAATCACCCATTTTTGACTCTATCGTTTATTATACAGTACAAAGATAGCAGTGGTATATAATATATTTTCAATGCAAATGATCTCCACATAATCTCCACATTTTTCCAGGTTGACCACAACCCCTTGTACATTACCCCACAACAACAAGAACTGACGTTAATTCTTCTGTGGACTTCCAAATGCATTCGAGATTTTTTATAAACTTTGGCCTCATTCTACTGGCTCTTAAATCCCTCCATTATAAATGACCCACCAGAATTATTACCGACCCCAATGCTCTGATTCTCTTAGCCTCGGATTACAATAAACCAGAATTCCCTCCCCCTTCTCCTCTTTAAAAACAAGACATTTTGAAAGACTCTAAGTAAAGCTTTTCATCTTCTCCCTCCTAAGATAATTATATTACTTCTACCTTGATTGTTATATTTTTGGTTGCAATTCTAAAATTATAATATTATTTCCATCTCATACATTGAACTTGAGGGCAAAAATCCTAGTCAGAAAAATAGGATAACAAATGCAGTTCAAGTGCATATGGTGGGCAATAATAGGCAATAGAGAAGGTCATTACATACTTTAGCAGATCCGATGAGCATAAAAATTTTATAAATCAGACTTGTCATTAATTACAAGAGCACTAATAAAGAGAAAATTTATCGTAAAACTTAGGTGTGGGTCCACTTTCATCTGGACCATTTATCTCCCCACGAGACCCACAAAAATACTCAGAGTCAATTTCAGAACCACTATGCTCTTTTGAGGACTATTTAGAGTTTTAGGGAGAGTTAACACGTAGCAAAATAACTCTTAATTTCGCAGGGATGTATCGACTCTACGTGGAAGCGAGAGTTTTAATCAAAATGGTTAACTCAGTCAACAGTTTCTCTCGTGGCTGATGCTGTTACATGAAGCCTCTGAAGCGAAAGCAGCTTAGATATAGAGGTGCAAGAGAGAAAGAGGGAGAGAGGGAGAAAGAAGAAGGGAGGACCAGTTAGTCGAATTAAGGGGGTGCGCTGTATCTGCTAGGGTAGGACGAGAAAATAAGAGAACAAGGGTGAGATGCGTAAAGTGAAGGGTAGCTCTGGCGTTTCTACTTTTTTTCAACTAAATGACTGCGATAATTCAAAGTGGAAATAAGAGAGAGGGGAGACGCTTGAAAAATCACCCCTACAGCATCTGCGTACACCCAAAGTTGCAATACGGTGTACACTTCTAAGTGGAATTTTGAGATATTATAGGTTTTATATACACTACTGTTTTTAACAAGGAAAAAAAAACAAGTTTTACTTTTACTTTGCGAATATCTATTTTGAGAATAAAAGGATTGTTGTTCTATTGACAGCAGTTCTCTGTTATTTGTTTGAACATGTGATATTTATTCTGAGAAGTCCTTTCACAAGTGAATTATCATCTCGGAAGGTTCTTCATATTATACAAGACGATTCTAAACTAATGGAGCTCAAGTTTCATGTAGGAATCAAGATAAATTACAAACAAAGTGTAAAACTTGACAATAAGAGCATAAGCTGTCTGAGTTTGGCCAACTTCAAAGACTGATGAAGCTCACGGTCTTAGTGCGAGGTGAACCAAAAGCTGTAATGGTGGTAAAAGGACTGATAACATCGAGTTCTACCCTAAACATCGTAGAATGAAAGATGGTATGAGCCAAAGAGAAATCTCGAAGTATGGAGAGAGCGTACTTTAGGTGGTTCTTCTTCTCGGTTTTAGAAATGACGAAGCTGATCGTAAGGCTTTAAATCAGAGTAATTTCAATCCATAGCTAAGTACATGGCAACAAATAGGAGATTTAAGAGGAAAAAGAGACAGTTGCATAAACTTATCAAGAACCTACTGAATGGCTCTAAACTCTTTCTAATTAAATAATCTATTGTAGTCAAAGTAAAACAGGTATTGTTGAGAATTGATCCTAGATCTTGATCCTTTTCCCAAGCTTGATCTTTAAAAAATCAATACAGATTATTTTATTATCAACTTGTAGATACACATTCTTGTTATTCCAATGTTATTTAGTTATTTTGTATTTCAATTAATCGTATATCGTGGTGTGGAGAAGTTTGGACTGCAATATCAGAAGAATTAGATTTCTGGAACATGTGGTAACCACTAACTTGGAAGTTCTCAACGATGAATGTAAGGTACCTTTACGTAGTGTGATTAAAATCTAGGGAATAGTTAACAAGTTTTTATGTCAAATTACGACCGCGTTCTCTATGAAATTGTAAGTTAAAAAAATATGCACACGTTTACGGTTAATCGAGATGTCTCAAAATATTTAGAATTCAAAACTCTTTGTACATAGATTGGGCAAAAATAACTTTGCAAATATCGTAGAAAGGACTTTTATTTCTATCCACTAAAAGTATTTTCAATATTTAGAAAAACTAGGGTGTAAGAACCTTTAAAATACACAGAACATGCAAATGTCGTTTCAATGTTAGGAAAAAGATTCTAAAAAAATCTTGATCCATCGAGACGTTACATTATGAAAGCTCAATATTTGCTTTCTTATCCATTGTATCATTGTGCTTCGTAAATGAGCTCTAAAATAAAGTAAACACATAACATATTCATATCGTACGACCTTGCATGCATATGTAGGATTACCATGTGTTTCTTACATTAAAGTCGATTTAATTGGATTATCGTATGACTGGGATAAGTGTTTTAGTAATTGTACGTGTCTTGTATGTTTTAGAGTGTTTTTCGAACGGCTTACTAAATATAATCATTTAATTATATTAATATTAAGAATGTCCAAAACATTTTGCTTAAAATTCTATCAAAATAGCGATGGTTAAAAAATTTAGTCCGTAGTGTGATTTCTTTTTTTGTAAATTTGTTAAAAAATAGTTTCGATAATACTCATGCTTTAGAAACTGAAAATGCCATTGATAGTTTAGATTTCAAGAGCAAATTCTAAAAAGTTTGAAGTAGTCCTCAGAGTTGATTTACGTACTACTACGTATTAGTTGAAATATTAACCTATGTTTAAGCCTACGACTAATTTTTTATATGGATACCCTCAACAACTCTTGAAAAATCAGTTAAATTTTCAAGTTAAGACCTAATCACTTATATTTCTGTTGGTTTACACAGAAAACTATTCAAATTTCAAGGACCACAAACTGTTGTAACAAAGTATTTAGAAAAAAATCTCACCTTAACTGCACGGCGCGACTATCGTTGGAAGTTCCATGATCGCAGCAGGCCGGTCTGGTCCTTTCTGAAACAGGTAAAATGAATTTTATTTCAACAAACCGTGTCAGTAATATTATCTGGTTTTCACTTATATAAATGATTCTTTAGTCACTTGTGAAACAACACGTTTCGTTATTTGCATAATGAAAATGTATAAATAGATACAACACAATCGTTATCCTTCATTTTCCAGAACGTAAGTCTAGAGCCCCACTATTTATTTGAGAAATGTCTTCCACTCTACCCATCTCCTTCTCTTCAATGGCATATGTAGCCACAATATTTATATTCTGTTCTCAACAATTGATGGATAAATTATTCAGGCAAATTTACTTTGCGTCACGTTCCAGTTTAATCCAATTTTCTTTAAACGCACATGTACATCTTTGGTAAGGGTAAGTGAAAAAATGTGTAGAGAGAGAAAGAGACGAAAATAACATAAGACCTAGCCTAAATATATATGTCTGTGTATGCATACACATAGAGTTAGAGAGCTAGCACCAACCAGTCAAGTTAGAATGCATAGAGCCACATCAATCCGTAAAATTGCGAAAAACAACGTCAAAACAAACATCCGCGACTTATCTGTTGGAAATAGGTGAATAAGAGAAATAGAGAATAGACACAATGGTATAAGAAGGGGGATGCATAGTATAGGGATGGTAAGAAACGATTTTTCCCACATGTTAATTACCTCAAAAACATCCATACCTAGCCATGAACCGTGTACAGGTTTCAGTAGAGGTGACCCCGTTTTTTCTCGATTTTTCTAAATTTATGGACATAATGTTTGCATGTAAATCATGAAAAAAAATTTTACCTGCACTGAAACTTGTGTTCATGATTTTTGCTTCATAGCACATGACATTGCGAGTCAAGTAAGCCCTATTTCGAGGGTGTGCCTCAAAAAAATTTTTGATTCAAAAATTGGGAACAACAACGGGGTATATTTTGTAGATTTCCTCATATACCTACATATGTAGTATGTATACACCTATACTTCGACGTCTTTTGCTGATTTGATTTACATAAATCCGCACGTACGTTGCTTTGACGAGTACAAAGACTGAAGTTGTTATATATGTGTGGCAAGAAAGGGATGATAGACCAAGTTGGGAGTTGGGAGAGATAGAGAGAGAGAGGTTTATATAGATGACTGTGCCACGAGAGAAAAAGGAGCTTTTGCCAAGCGTATATACCTACACAACCAAAATATTTAGACTCGCAGTGTACATACGTGAAGGTAAATTTGCCTTATTCCACGGCTTGTTTTGTACCATCTCACGGGAGGCTGAATTACTCAGGAAATATATGTAGCGAGAGAGGGAATTTTGGGGCGAATACGTAACGAGGGTGGGATGAAGAAATTCGCAATATTTTTTTGCAGACGTGCTTCTTTCTCCTTCTTTTTCTCGGATGAATTTATCCCGGGTCGGCTTCAACCCTGGCATATTCCGTCTATGTATCCTGTCTGCCATGAATTATGATGAATCGTTGGAATACCTTAAGATAATTTAGAAATTCCTTTCATCCAGGTGTACTTGTGCCTTTTGTTATACTCTCGAGATTAATGTTCTTGAAATAAATATCGGTACATTATAAATTCATGAAAAACATGTAGGAAATTATGTAGATATAGTTTGTGCTAATAGTAATATTTATACGACAAAAATCGTTGGTGTTTATAGTATCAGTTTTGTGTAAGTAAGACATTGAAATTTCATTTACATCAAATTTTTTTGATTTTTTTGAAAAAATTGTTGACCATGTAATAATTGTAACACAGAAATGGATGTACTGCTCTATAATTTGTCTAGTCAAATAAACCCTACGTTAGAATTTTTGAATTATATGAGTTTGTTTTGTAGTCTGTATTAATTATTGTTCTTCATTGTTGAAATGAACGCCTTGTCAAAATAAATTCTCAGTTTTTACGAGTATTTTTGTTTTTTTCATTGTATTAATCCACTTTTCTTATATCTAGAGCACATTGAGCTGTTCCATACAATTACTTAGCTACATAAAATAAAAACTTGACTCTGCAAAAGCATGCACGATTGAACATACATAAATTTGAGTATATCATTCTAATGAATCTATTTATGTAAAAAACTGGTTGTTTTTCCAATTATCGATAAACATACTCGAGTAATAAAAGAAATTGTCACAATGAAGATGCCGGAAGCGTGTAGTGGTAACACGTAGCGGTACGTTGTACACTTCAACTATCGCAAAGCATACCACGTTTTCTTGCGCTCTAAAAATACGTACCAAGGCCAGAACGATGCACGTCTGGTGACGTTTTGATTTGTGCAAGAGCTAGTAAGTATTTTGGCTTTTTAATCAATTTGACTCGCAAGTTTAAAATATTCCACTGCAAAGGTCACCCCTCACCTTCATGCGATTCACAGATTTAGCTTGTATTAAGTAATTTAAAGAGAGAGATCTAAAAACTCGTACGCATTTATATTAAATTATGTAAAACTCCCGAAAAAAATCTAATAACGTTTATCGAGTGATCAGCTAAATTGGAGTTCATTACGGTGTTTGTTGAACGTGCTGTTCTGCTCCCAATTATTTCCATGATTTCTTGAGGTTTAGCGAATAAACACACGATCAGTAAGAGCTAATTTAGGAGTGAGAATAAAAACTCCAAAGTCAGGTGTTAGTTTGAGCAACGTTTCGTTGGTCTTAACGCCAACCTCATCAGGCTCAGTCTAACTAACACCTGACTTTGGAGTTTTTATTCTCACTCCTAAATTAGCTCTTACTGATCGTGTGCTTATGCACTAAACCTCAAGAAATCATAAATTGGAGTTCTTTAGAAATAAGTTGACCTCGAGGTTGACCTTGCAATTTCTCTGATATTTGAAAATTAATATTTTTAAATTTCTAATGTTTGGCTGATTGTTAATCCCGTTTGATGAATAGAAAATTATATTAGATTCATAATACTCTGTTGTATCCCAAAGAAAGATTGAGCAATCATTAAATTGACAGAAAAAAATAATAAAAATTATAGAGAAATTCCAGCAAATTAGTATGAACAGTAGACTTTAAAAAGACCGGTTAATAAATTATACTTTTCTGCATAGTAATCTTTACTGTTCTACCCATAATTTTAATTATTCAAACTACAATTTTAACAGTTAAAACAATAATATTTATTATTAAAAATAGTAATATTTTCCTTTTTTGCCAGCTTGCATCCGATTTACTGTGCCGAGTGGTATTCTCCATAATTTTTATTGTTTTGTTTCTCTCGGTGTACTTTCTGTTTAGTCAGCTCTATTAATTTAACTATTAATCCAAATTTGTTTCTCCACCTATTATGAATCGCTTACGCGTTTTCATAGGCAGTTGTACCACGATAGTAAAAGAAAACAAAAATCGAAGCCAAACGAATGATATGAAAATCATAAAAGTGAGCTTAAAAAACGTAAAATGTAAAAATCTCCATGCACAGGAAGAAACAACAAGCAGAGGTAGTTATTTCGCGTGCACCCAATAACCACACTACTTTTCCCCTACTTTGTTCCGACATTAAGGGCACTAATTTTATTTAATGAGCTGCAATGCGTGCACTGGCTCACCCTCGCGTTCAACGCACGTCCGAGAACCTCTGCTCGGGCGTTATTTGAATAATGCAAATATTTTCTCCCACTGCACACGCAACAAGCGGCGCAAAAAGTCATACACATACACGCGCTCCTTTTTGATGTTGCGTTGCTGTTCTGACTGGAATACAAAATTACGGCAAGCAGCAACAACACCCAGTGCAAGTACAGTAGAAAGCAAAGCCCATAGAGTTAATCTGGATGCAAATTATATATGCGGGCACTGACTTTCCTTGTTTAAAAAAAAAAAAAAACCCTGCAAGTCCTCCGCAGTAGTACGAGTAAGGAGGAGATGGAGGTAGGAGCAAACGCAAGGGTCGCTGGCTGAAGAGATAAACAGGAAGGAGATTCCCTTGTTTTTGTTGGTCCCTGCGTGCGGATATGAACCAACGAAGAATGCGAAAAATTATACGGTCGTAGGAGTTGGAAATGCCTGGTGACGTTTTTTTATTGTCAAGTGCTCAATGCTCACGTATGCGCTACCATTGAGATTCTTTGAAATTGTGAAATTCGAGAGGGATTTGATAACGTGGATATCATTCGTGTTTTCCAATGTATGAAAGCACTTGGTTGTAGCAAAGGTACCACAGTCTATTATAGATTAATATCACGAGTAAACTCGTTATCCCGAAAGGGATACACAAATGAAAAGTGCTCCTTGAGAATTTCCCCACATGGAATTAAACTTCTGGACAATAGTTTAGTCATCTTCCTTTAATGATGGTGAACTTCGCTGTGTGGAATATATGAATTTTTTCAAATGAAAGACCTTTTTCCATAAACATCAGAACTAGTCAACCACAACGAAACATCTCGCGTATTGTACGACCAATTTTCTTGTCCCCTGCGTTATTCGCCATCCGGAGGGGTACATAGCTCCCACGGACAACAAATCTCTCTTTTTTTTTCGTCCATAAAAGCGGTGTAGAAAAGTAAACATCAAAACAAAGAAGAGGAAGAGAAGCTTATCCACATGCTCCCTTTCAGATTTATTTGCGAGATTAAGAAGCCCTCCTCTCGAGTCCCTCCTCCTTTTAGATTCAAGATTGTCCTCCCTCCGGCTCTGCGTACGTTTCTTTCGGTCAAAACAGCGAAAACACGGACGAAATCTCAAAACGAGATCTTAGTTGGGAAGGGGGGGGGGGCAAGAACCGAGGGCCGTTCTCTCGCTATTGTACAAGCATGTAAGTTCAGAGAAAATAGAGCAAAACATTTTTACTCAAATTCGGTCGCTTTCCTCTTTTATCCCTCTATATTTTTTCGATACGCAGTGTATATCCTCCACTCAACCAGGTATCGTTGATACTTTTTTTTTTTTTTTTTTCCTAAACGCGTATGACATACATCCACTTGAGAGCGAAGCGTGCAAAGTGGGTCGAGAGTTTTCCGCAAAATTAAATTTCCACCG